TCCGCCCACTGCGTCCCTACGTCAGCCTTCCGTCACCGCACACAGCGACCGCTGTGGCCGGTCGGGACCGGCCACAGGAAGCCGTCCACCGCACGCAGCCGTGACGTCAGAGCCGCCTACCCATCCCCTACCCCCACGCCTGCTGGACGTACCGCACACACCGCACGCAGCAGTGTGCGGTGCCCGTGAACACCCCTCAGACTGATGCAAAAGAACCTGTAATCTAAAAAAGATGTGGGCTACAACATAGACCTCGCCGTCTTCTAGAATAAAAAAACCTTGACTCTTGATTGCTTCTTGTCCTCGCTGTGTGTTGATGTGAGCGGTACCGTAAAGTGGGGCTATTTGAGACAGTGGGGCTATTTGAGACAGTATTTAAAATCGCTATAAAATGAAGTGCGTTTGATTTTTATGTGATATTTTTGCTCAGGAAGGTGTGGAATCGAGCAGTAAATCACCTGAGCAAAAATTAAGCATAAATTTCAAACGGTTTTTATTTTATAACAATTTTAAATACTGTCTCAAATAGCCCCACTGTCTCAAATAGCCCCACCTTACGGTAGCTATTCTGCCTTACAAAAGCGCGAATATCAATACTTTTAAAATAATGATCAAAATCCTGTAAATTCCCACTTAAACCTCCTTAACCACCCTAAAACACTAATGTTCCTATCTTGCGCGCCGCACTCAAACCGTATACAAGCCTGAATGTCTCATGCGCGCCGGGTTCGCTATCCCTCTTACTACACTAGCGCCACCCTCGCGCAGCGGCGAGTCTCGAGGCGATATCTCGAGCCTAGAGACTTTCGTGCGTCATGACATTAGGCTCCGCCCACGACTCCGGTATTGACCCGTGACCATCAGCGACCTCTGTACAAACGACACTGCTGCCATCTGTAATGGGCTATGAATTTCGCTGATGCTTCACATGGTATGAATTGTATCACACGGTTACGGAAGAGATAAATAGTAAATGTTAGGCAATATATCGACACCTTTTTTTAAACCCCACATTTGTTCTCCGGTGAATTTCAGACAAGTTGGTTAGAGACCTTCAAAAAAGGTACAATCACTCGATTTTTCTCAAGTTTGTCTGTCTTGGCAGATAAAGCAATACCAGAACAGGCTTACGAACACACATATTTGATCAGGATCGGACGATTGGACACTTTTAAAAGGAGATCTTTCGTGCCTCCCGGAAATTCACGGGAGAGCAAATGTGGGTTTAAAAAAAGGTGTCGATATCTAGAATCATCAAATTCTTAACCTACTATTCACACACGCTTCGAACAAACGGTTCCTAACAACACACAATTTTAGATGTACCTAGGTAACAAATGACACCAGAAATTTATATTTAGGCATGACCCCTTTTTGGTGAAATACGAGCATAGCATTGTGAAGTGAAATTAAATTAAGGCAATCCAATAACTGACACCGTTCCGTGATTCCATCCTCAGGATACATAAATCCTTCTCCTCCGCACTGCAACCCCCTCCGGGCTGGACAGGCAACTTTATCTCATGTGGGCTGCTCCCTTGGAGCGGCTCCCGAGGGAGCGCACCCCAAAGCCGGGTGCAGTGAGTATCGTGGGGCTGGGTGGCCTGTCTTCTGGACGGGCTCAGCCCCGGTGACTCACTAGGATGCCTGCCCAGACCGATGCCTCCCCCTAATTCCTACCATCCTCCCGGCTCTGAAATGGTCTAATTGGACCGAAAGGGCCTATCCCAACAAAACAAACAAAAAACAAACCAATTCCAATAACTATTGCGATGGTGCATTGCGATGAATGTACCTATGAACAACTTGATGACATCAGACACCCCGTGGCCGTAACATAAGACTTTTTGATTCTCGACAATACCTACAGCACGCATTCTGCTCATCATTGACCATGTTTTCCTGGCGTGAGCGTCATTTTTAATATTATGATGCTAGAAACTGACCTTATGCTCATGCTACAATGAAATATGATACATTTAATTGTATCATGAGCATATGGTCATTTTCTAACATCATACTTTTCATAATAATGCTCAAACTGGCCATAGCTCACCTTCAACAAGTTACTTTTAATTGCCATTAACATTTATAAATTAAATACAAATTAACTGTTCATATTTTCATCTTTAAATTAATAAATGCTATCATATTAGGTACGATAGGTATGGCGTTGTAGAAAATGCGCCTTGGCACATAGGCGCATTATCTACAACGTCATAGGCTTTAAAGGAAGACTGCCACCTTCAAAAAGTTCGAACAAAACTATGCATTTTGTTGACTTTGACCTTTGACCTGCAAGGTCAAATTTGAGGTCTAACGACGGGGTACCGGATAACGTCTTGAATTTATGGAAGGAGCGGGCTAAAAACGGTCCCAAACGACGGACAGCCTCCGTGACCATGACCTTGAAGGTCAAAGGTCAAGGTCGAAGTCATGGTCACGGAGGCTGCCCACGGTGACGAGCTATCATGTATGACCACTTTTGGTCCTTTTGATCCCATAATTCGGGACGTTATTGGGTACCCCGTCATTTGACCTCTAATGTGACCCACCAGATGACCTTAAAAATGTGTTTTATGTCCATTTTTGGAACAAGCGTGTCCTACTTGACCTGATAACATGTTTTCAGTGATTCTGAATCCGACGCTGAATCCGTCGCTGAATACGTCGCTATCTTCACGCACGTTTCTTTGATGTCATGTCTCATCTGCCCGTCATTTGCAGCGTATAAAATTTAATGAAAATAAATATCAGCGAACGATCGCATTGTTCAAAGTAAGTACGGGGACCTGCAGTTGCTACTGTACAGCGACCCTGAGTAAATTGTCCCAGCACACTCACAGGGAACAAAAATAAGCTGCCAGAGTGCACGCACATAAAACCTCAGCTGCTCTTGTACAGGGACCGGCAGTCGATATCAATGTTATCGGTTGTTACTGGACAGGACGGACGGCTAGAGTTGGGGTTCGTGTACAGTAGCAACTGCGGGTCCCCGTACATGCAATGCACATTACGCGTTGCTGGCTCCTCATGCGGCGCTGCCTCTTTGAGCACGGTCAGACAACGTTACCCAGAGCCACAGCTCCGCCGGCTTTCGGCACCGCTCGACCGTCCCCGCTCCCCGCCACAGCGAGAGTGACCGCGCGCCGGCCCGAAACCGCCGCAGGCCAAGACCACAGAGGCGGGGCTTAGCTTTGACGTCATAGCGTATCACAGACTGACTAGTGACAGCCTCTTCACAACGGGTAAATATCTTGCTCGAAATTTAACATCACGAGTCAATGAGAAGTGCCTGAAAAGATGAGAAGACTATAAAATATCGCATTGTACAAGTTTCGGGAGGTCTTGAAACGGCCATTTACTAAACTTGGTTAAATTGTCCATGCATTCAAAAATAATCGCAAAAAAGTGCCTCAAGGGGTCTGGCGTCAACAGCAGTCACATCTCCAGTCGTGTCAAGTACCTAACTGTGGCTGGCGCAGGTGCGAGCACCGGCCGAGTCGCGCCTGCAGGCCAGACCCCCCCCCCTCGTCATGGAACATTCCTGAGCAGGACGCCCGGTCTTGGACGAGGCTCACAGAGCGGACAGTAGGCGGACAATGGAACGGACAGTTGGCAGACAATGGAGCGGACAGTTGGCAGACAATGGAGCGGACAGTAGGCGGACAATGGAGCGGACAGTTGGCAGACAATGGAGCAGATGGCTTGGAATGTCCGCAGTTAACAGCTCACTATCTGATAACATGAAAATCTTTATTGAGAGCGGCCGTTGTAGCGCTTAACGCAGACTGCTAAAGTAACCACGTGGCCACCATTCTAGATTTACCCGCGCCGCGCCGAGGGAGGGGGGGCGTTTGAACACCCCCCCCCCCCCTGCGGTTTTTCGCAGATATCTCAAAAACACACCTGTTCGTGCATCTTTTCCGCACATGTGAAAATTTCAGACCCAGGTCGTCCAAGGTCAGGTCACCAGGTCACGTCAAGTCACCTCACCTCAGAAAAAAATTTAGAATACTCGTCATAGCTACACCGAGCGAACGATTGCCTTGCAACTTTCAGCGATTAATAAGAGTAACAGTATCTATAAAATGTTAATCTCGGAATTTTCATATCGGTGACCTAAGGTCAGATCAATTTTGCGGCCTCTCCATTATAAGTCAATGGGAGAAAACTGAAAAGCGTCTCTTTTGCACGAACGCCGTTCTAGACAATCTCAAGCATCGAGATGCAAGTAAAATTGACACCTGAACCGAAAAATGACACCTGTGACCCCTCGTTACGTCCCCGAGGTCATCTCAGGTCACGAAGAGTATCTAACAGTTTTTCGCTAATTACTTCTGATAGAGGCATGGTAGAGCGATGAAAACGCCTTAGGTGTGTTCGGCTCGACGATGCGGATCGACTGATATGCAACATGACCTTTCCCGGTCGGGTCATGACCTTGACCTGAGGTCAAATTTTCGAGTTGACCTTTCAAGGTCAAATTATAGTTCATTCAAAGCGTCTCGACTAGAGGAACACGATGCTGGCAAAAGTAATGTCGTGGCTCTTTGGAGTCAAAAGTTATTGCCGAAAAGGCACTTCTCGTAAAAACGGCTATTTTTTAGTTTTTGCCCTTTGGAGGCTAAACCGTTGATGTGACCGCAGCGGGTGGTGGTTATGGTAATTTAGTTTAGTCCCGATAGCTGCCCCCTCCGCTCGCTGGAATTATATACACGCCCCTGGCGTCTGCTGGGAGACCGCCCGCGTTGGCTGAGTGGCGCCGGCTCGTGGCCCCGGCAGAGGCGGTCTCGCCTGTCTGGTCCGTGAAGGGGTGGTGCTGTGGACGAGAGGGTGCAGCTGGCCGCTTTCAAGTTCGCCCCTGAGCTCGCTCCTGACGGTTTGGCCCGGGGCGGAGCTGGGCCGGAGTTGGGTCAGAGCTGCCGGCGCGTCTCGGCGGTGCGGGCTCCCGCTGCAGCGCTGGAGTCTGGGTCTGCAGTGGGCGCACTTCGTTGTTGTTGGTCGTGCTGAATTGCAGCGCCTTCGAGGCGCCGGAGCAGGTTGTAGTGTCGGAAGAGCCCAAGACTGGATCGCCGGGTCCGCCTCTGTTGTCTGGGAGGCCGTTCTGCGCGGGTGGCTGCCCCGTTACGTCGAAGGTGGTCAGGACCTCTCAAGCCAGGAAGTGGTACTCGTTGGTGAGTTCGAAGTTAATTTGTACTTTATAGTTACATAATGGGTAAACCTGTGGGTAATATCTTCGTTATATTAAGGTGCCTTTTATGCCATTAACCCACGAGCCGCTGGGGGGGGGGGGCATAAAGTTGCCCCCCTTTACGTTTTGTGAAATATCTCCGAAACCTGATGAGCTACGAACGTGAAACTTGGCATAGCTTCAAATGAATACCTAGGCAATCTTTGAGGAAAGTTTAGTGGTTGTAGCACCTAAGATGACGTCACAGTGACGTCATAAAGTTTTGTCGTTTTCCGATATGGACCGTTTCTGATGACGCTGAGCATGAAACTCACCTGTAAATGAACTAGACAGCACCTGCTGTCATCCTAAAACATCTAACTACACTTCCATCTAGTTTCTGACCTATAATCAACCCTTTATATTCGGTCCCATATATCTGATGTATCGTGAGGAATATGAGAGTCGCAAATCTACAATTTCACTTATGACGTCATTGTGACGTCATTTCAAATGGGATCGACACCAAATTTGGACACAACGTCGGCTAGGTATTCAGGAAGATGTGTGCAAAGTTTCGCTTCTCTATCTCTTCGCGTTGCGACGATATCGTCGCAGAAGTAAAGGGGGGGGGCAACTATATGCCCCCCCCCCAGCGGCCGGCGGGTGGCGCGGAGGCCCAGCGGCCGCCGGGTTAAACTCGTTGTTGAGCGTTCGGTGGCGACATCTAGACATGTTGTCTGTCTCAGTCGCTAGATGGCAGTTGGATTGCTGCGTGTGGGACTGCGTCAAATCTGCCGCAGCTATGATCGGCGGCGATAGCGGCTGACCTATTGTTTACAATTATTTGTTACAAATGTTCATTGATGGATGTATTGTTTTCGTTTGTCCGAGTTGTTTGTGATGCCAATGAGCACTCGTAAATAGTTTTCTGTTGGGCCTCACGATTCGTCGCCCCCTCCCCCGTTAAATATGTACTGCCGGCGATTGTATTGCCTACACATGTGTTTAGAAGTTATGTGCCCTGCTTATTGTGTTTTTGTTTTCTCAGGAAGCCGCTAAATACAGACTGAGCGGAACAGCAGCTGTGTTGGCGAGTCAACCGAGCATACAGGGCTTCAGAGGTCACAGTTTCCAACGAACCTGTTCGTCGGTTTGAGGAGCAGCTCCTTCTGTACCGAAGGTCGACTGGTCACTGGACTGCAAGTACCTCCATCACCATTGGCTACATTATATGCTGGGAGGTCTGCAGCACCTGGACATGTGGTGAGAGTGTCAGTGAAGGACTTGATTTCTGAGATTAACTAAAGACTCTGTTAGCTCTGCTCGAATGAGATCCGTGTTTGAAGTTGAACTCTGCCGTCCAGAGCAGTGACTTGAATTGCATTGATGTGTGATATTCAGTGGGGCAGTTGTTTATTATGCCATGCTTGTGTGTAACCCGCTGTGTCTTTATTGGTTGATGCACCAACACATGCTTTGATAGTGTTCTTGGCTCCTTGATGGGCAGTTATTTTGACATTGCCTTAGGTTGGCTGCTTGAGCTCGGATATTACTCAAGTAGGTGATTCAGTCCTGAAGATCACCAGCCCCTTACTCCTGAAGAACCTAAGATAGGATCGGTCCAGAAGACAGTTGATCGCGTATTATAGACCAGTATTTACGTGGTACCTGGGCCCCTGGCTTATTCCATGTTTGCAGCCACTTGGATCTGGATCTGATGCTTGTTCGTAATGATATCTAGGCGCACTATCCAGAAGATCTGCAAGATTCAGAGTGTTCTTTTAGTCCTCTTTGTTTTTATTGTTGTAGGGATAGTTTGGCTCAATCCTGAAGCCGGCTCAACATCAGCAATCATGAAGAAGATGCTGGTTGTGGAGCTGAAGGACGAGTTGAGGAAAAGAGGAATAGACTCGGCTGGTACCAGATCAGTTCTCATCGAAAGACTCGAGCGAGCCATGCAAGGTGAAGAAAGGGACAAACTGGAAGGGCAACATGAAGAGAAAGGCAGTCTTCAAGACAAGCAGGAGCTGCAGCAAGAAACCGAGGAAGAAGTTCGTCCAGATGAAGAAGAGGACCTACCAATGGGTGCCTGTGCATCAAGCATCAAGCACGGCGTACCTCCGTCTGGGCAGAGATGTGGATCTGTAAAAAGTGGTCAATCACAGATGTCTACAGCCTCAGCAAGGGCACTGGAATCTGCCAGACGGGCCGGCCTACAAGCTAAAATGAAGATAATGCAACAAAAGCATCAGTTGGAAGAAGAAGTCTTAAGGGTGCAACGCAAGAAGGAAGAGATGGAATTGATGATGGAGCTGGCCGAATCCCAGGCCAGAGAAGACGTGTTGAAGGACTTTGAAGCATCCCAGGAACATCACCAGAGTAGCATTCAAGCCCAGCTGCATGCTCCTCCTGTTGCTGCAGAAAGACTCGCAGATCCACGAGAGCAACAGCAGTCAACAGCATTCAACAGCAGTCAGTTGAACATGGCGGAGGCAATGTTGGAGAGTAGCAGAAGGAATCTGCTTCCAAGATCGGAAATTCCCAAGTTTAGCGGTGACATCACAAAATACCATTCCTTCATCAGAGCCTTCGATTCAAAAATAGGCAACAGGTCGTTGGACAGCGAGGAGAAACTTCACTTCCTGGAGCAATTTACCTCCGGTCGGCCAAGACAGATAGTCCAAGCCTGTTTCCACATGGAAGCCGAAGAAGGATATGTAGAGGCCAGAAGGCTGCTAAAGAAGCGGTACGGCGACCCTTCAAAGGTGGCTACAGCATACACTGAGAAGCTGCTGGACTGGCCGACTATCAGCGCTGATGATGTGGAAGGACTTGACGAAATGGCTCTGTATGCTCGAAGCTGTTTCAATGCAGTCAGAGCACTGAGGGATCGAAGTGAATTGGACCATCACAAAACCCTTCGTATGCTGGTGGAGAAGCTGCCGTTCCACCTTCAGGACAGATGGAGAAGAGAGGCGGATGAGGTCAGTGAGCGAGGGAAGAAGATCGCATTCTCGGACTTCGTTGAGTTCCTGGAAACCGAGGCCAGAGTTGCATCACATGCAGAATTCGACACGTACTCAAGAAGACAGCAAGACGAAGTGACGTACAGCGTGTCAAATGCAGCAGGACGTCCCCAGAGGAGAAGGAGGTTTGCCCTTTCTGCAGTGAGGAGCACGCTCTAGATAGATGCCAGGCCTTCTCTAACCACCCTCTTGCCGCTAGACAGGAATTCGTGCGTGGAAATCGTCTCTGTTTTGGGTGCCTCAAGTCTGGCCATTTCTCCCGTTTCTGTCCGCGTCGCCTGACCTGTTCTGTGTGCAGTGGGAGGCACCCATCGGTGCTGCATGTGTTCAGAGCCGTAGGAGCGGAGGATCAGCAGCACGGTCGTCAGGAGGCTCAGATGAAGACGGAACCAACTCAACCGGCCGTATCAGTCAATGCGATCTCATCCAGTGATCGTTCTATGAAGATGCCAATGATCCCCGTGAAGGTTCAATACGGTGATGGTCCTCAAGTGGAGACATACATGTTTATGGACACGGGTAGTAGCTCGACATTCTGTACGTATGACCTCCTCCGCAAGCTAAATGTTAATGCCACGAACAAGACTAAGTTGTCGGTCTCCACCATGTCTAAGGACCCGCTAGTTGTATGGGCCTCAGCCGTGCAGGGTCTCAGGATATCAGACCTGAGTGAAAACGAGCAGATCATGCTCCCGACAGTGTTCGCTATGGATAAGATCCCGGCGTCCCGAGAGGAGATCTGCTCAGCTGAAGACCTCCAAAGGTGGCCGCATCTTCAAGCAGTCGTCCCGGACATGATCGACGCAGACATTGGAATATTGGTGGGAGTGAATGTACCAGAAGCGCTCGAACCGATCGACTTCATTCACAGCAGAGATAACGGTCCGTATGCCGTCAGGACGCGACTTGGTTGGGTGGTGAACGGTCCGGTACGTCATCACAAATGGACGGAAATCAGGGCTACAGCGAACCGAATCAAGGTTGAGGTTCAAGGACCCCAGTCAGAAGCGAACCCCGCATCTGAAGAACGGGGATGGTCCGTGGAGGACCACAGATGGATGGAGAAGGTTGAGAAGGAAGCTAGGATGGACAATGGACACTACGAGATACCTATACCTCTAAAGAGTGGTGACACAGTCTTGCCGGACAACCGGGAAGCATGCTTGAGGAGGCTACAGGGACTCAAAAAAAGGTTTCAAAACGAAGGCTTCGCTGATCAGTATCGTGAAGTGATTGAGGACATGGCAAGGAAGGACTATGCAGAAAAGGTGCCTGAAGAAGAACTGGACAGAGCTGACGGACTGGTGAATTACCTACCTCATCACGGGGTGTTTGGAAAGAAAGAAAAGCTTCGTGTGGTTTTCGACTGCTCAAGCTCGTTCAGAGGCGTCTCGCTGAATGACAAGGTTTATCAGGGTCCGTCGCTTTGCACACCGCTTATTGACGTTCTCGTTCGTTTTCGTCAGGAAGAGGTGGCCTTCATGGGCGATATAAATGCCATGTTTCACCAGGTTCATGTGCCAGTCGGTCAGCGTGACTTGCTCCGATACCTCTGGTGGAAAGGGGGCGACCCTGCAGAAGTGGTGGAGACCTGGCGGATGAAGGTGCATCCCTTTGGGTTGAAGTCGAGCCCAAGCTGCGCGAGTTACGCACTGCTACGAACTGCAGCGGACTTCGGTGAGGAAACATCACTTGAGGCTGCTCAGGCAGTCGCTAGTAATATGTATGTAGATGACCTCGTGAAGTCCGTGGCAGACGTGAACCAGGCCGTCAGACTGGTGAAGGATGTGCGGGAACTGTGTGAAAGGGGTGGCTTCCGCATGGCTAAGTTTGTGAGTAACAACAGAGATGTTCTAGAATCAATCCCTCCCGAAGACAGGGGCAAGAAAGTCAGGGATCTAGACTTTGATGAAGACTTGCCTTCAGAAAGGGCCCTGGGAATACAGTGGCATATGGAATCCGACACTATCGGGTTTACAGTGAAGATAGCCGAGAAGTCGCCCACGCGTAGAGGCATGTTATCCGTGATCGGTTCTGTATATGATCCATTGGGGATGGTGGCCCCGTTCGTCCTAAGCGGGAGGAGAATTCTGCAGGAGCTCGCCAGGAGGCAGTATCGATGGGACGAACCCGCACCAGAGGACCTGATCGTGAAGTGGCAAGAATGGTTGACAGGAACCTCCCTCATCTCGGATGTCTGGGTTCCGAGGTGTGTCAAGCCGGTTGGGTTCGGACCGATCAAGGAGTGTCAGCTTCACCACTTTGCTGACGCAAGCAGTGAAGGGTATGGAATAGCGTCGTACCTGCGGTTCACCAATATGGAAGGGAAGGTGCACAGTGCGTTCCTGTTCGGGAAGTCTCGCCTAGCTCCCTTGAAGGGCATGACCGTCCCCAGACTGGAACTAACCGCCGCCACGCTAGCGGTGCGCACAGATGTACTGCTAAGACGAGCTCTCCAGATCCAGATAGATGCTGTGTACTTCTGGACCGACAGTACTACTGTCATCCGCTACATCCGGAACGAACACACTCGTTTCCACGTGTTTGTCGCTAACCGGCTTCAGGTGATCAGAGGAGCGTCGTCCCCTGAGCAGTGGAGGTATGTCGAATCTGCTAGGAACCCGGCAGATGAAGCTTCCAGAGGACAGTCGGCGGCGGCCTTCATAGGCAATCGGCGTTGGTTCAGGGGGCCCGAATTTCTGTGGGAGGAAACTGACAAGTGGCCACGACCGCCTCCCGGGCTAGAAGGAACGACTGAAGAATCAGACCCAGAGGTAAAGCATGTTGTGTCCATCAGAAGCACGCAAGTTACGTCAGAACGTGACCCTGTGGACATGCTGCTTGACCACTTCTCAAGCCTATACAAGTTGAGACGAGCCGTGGCATGGATTCTACGAGTAAGACAGAGACTTCAGCTGAGATTAAGGACGAGATCAGAGCAGGGAGACAGCCAGCCTGCAGTCCGGTCTTCTACTACCTCAGTCACCTCCTGTACGCCCCTGAGCCGGGATGAGTTGGAGGCAGCAAGCCTTGCCGTTGTGCGAAGGATTCAGAATGTATCGTTTCCAGAAGAGCTCCGGGATCTCAGAAATGGGCAGCCTGTAAAGGGATACAGCCAGCTGGCGAGTCCGGTTATCCTGCCAAACTCCCACCATGTGGTTGATCTGATGATCCAGAGTGAGCACGAAGAAGCTGGACATGAAGGCAGAGAACACACGTTAGCAAATCTGAGAGACAAATGCTGGATTCTAAAGGGAAATTCAGCTGTAAGACGCGTACTGAGAAGTTGTTACAGCTGCCGACGAAGGCAAGCTCAGCCGGCCGGTCAGAAGATGGCAGACTTGCCCCTCGACAGGGTGAACCCGGAGCAGGCACCATTTCATTCCACTGGCGTTGATTACTTTGGGCCGTTTCAGGTCAGGCGAGGGCGAGGTCATGTGAAAAAGTACGGGGTCATCTTCTCTTGTTTGACATCTAGAGCAGTGCACTTGGAGGTCGCCGACTCCCTGTCCACCGACTCCTTTATTTGTGCTCTTCGTAGGTTCGTTGCCAGACGTGGACAAGTCAGAAATCTGCGATCAGATAGGGGAACCAACTTCACTGGGGCGGACAGGGAGCTGAAGGCTGAGATGGAGAACTTGATGCAAGATGCCCCGCAGATCGATAAGGCAATGATCTTGAAGAATATTTCTTGGACGTTCAACCCACCACACGCCTCCCATTTCGGTGGTGTATGGGAAAGGGAGATCCGCACTGTACGGAAAATCCTGGGTGCCTTGCTCACGCAGCAATGTTTGACAGAAGAATCGTTGCAGACATTCCTCTGTGAGGTTGAAGCCGTCATGAATGGTCGTCCCCTCACCACGGTATCGCCGGATTGTCGGGATCCTGAGCCCCTGACGCCGAATCACCTGCTACTACTCAACTATTGTCCGACTGTCCCAGCTATTGTATCCAAAACGGACGACCTGTACGGAAGAAAGCGTTGGAGACAGGCGCAATACATGGCCGATGTATTTTGGAGTCGCTGGAGAAAGGAGTACTCGGCTCTCCTACAGGCAAGAAAGAGTAACAGAAGTCAGAGAAGAAACCTGAACAAGAACGACGTCGTACTGATTGTAGATGAAGCCGCGCCACGGAACTGTTGGCCCCTGGGAAGAGTCATTCAACCCAAGCTCAGTGGGGATGGACTCACTCGAAGCGCAGAGGTCATGTCGAGAGGCAAGCTGATTAAACGTCCCATATCAAAGCTCATTCTCCTTGTTGAAGCATCTGAGTAAATGCAACTGAGAACAAGTATGTTCAGATAGTTAAGTTAGTTATAAGTTAAGTTTAAGTGCTGCTACAATCGGTTCATCGCTGCAGCTATCGTTCTTGAACCTGGAAAGGTTCAAAGGGGAGGGTGTGACCGCAGCGGGTGGTGGTTATGGTAATTTAGTTTAGTCCCGATAGCTGCCCCCTCCGCTCGCTGGAATTATATACACGCCCCTGGCGTCTGCTGGGAGACCGCCCGCGTTGGCTGAGTGGCGCCGGCTCGTGGCCCCGGCAGAGGCGGTCTCGCCTGTCTGGTCCGTGAAGGGGTGGTGCTGTGGACGAGAGGGTGCAGCTGGCCGCTTTCAAGTTCGCCCCTGAGCTCGCTCCTGACGGTCTGGCCCGGGGCGGAGCTGGGCCGGAGTTGGGTCAGAGCTGCCGGCGCGTCTCGGCGGTGCGGGCTCCCGCTGCAGCGCTGGAGTCTGGGTCTGCAGTGGGCGCACTTCGTTGTTGTTGGTCGTGCTGAATTGCAGCGCCTTCGAGGCGCCGGAGCAGGTTGTAGTGTCGCAAGAGCCCAAGACTGGATCGCCGGGTCCGCCTCTGTTGTCTGGGAGGCCGTTCTGCGCGGGTGGCTGCCCCGTTACGTCGAAGGTGGTCAGGACCTCTCAAGCCAGGAAGTGGTACTCGTTGGTGAGTTCGAAGTTAATTTGTACTTTATAGTTACATAATGGGTAAACCTGTGGGTAATATCTTCGTTATATTAAGGTGCCTTTTATGCCATTAAACTCGTTGTTGAGCGTTCGGTGGCGACATCTAGACATGTTGTCTGTCTCAGTCGCTAGATGGCAGTCGGATTGCTGCGTGTGGGACTGCGTCAAATCTGCCGCAGCTATGATCGGCGGCGATAGCCGCTGACCTATTGTTTACAATTATTTGTTACAAATGTTCATTGATGGATGTATTGTTTTCGTTTGTCCGAGTTGTTTGTGATGCCAATGAGCACTCGTAAATAGTTTTCTGTTGGGCCTCACGATTCGTCGCCCCCTCCCCCGTTAGATATGTACTGCCGGCGATTGTATTGCCTACACATGTGTTTAGAAGTTATGTGCCCTGCTTATTGTGTTTTTGTTTTCTCAGGAAGCCGCTAAATACAGACTGAGCGGAACAGCAGCTGTGTTGGCGAGTCAACCGAGCATACAGGGCTTCAGAGGTCACAGTTGACCTGAGGTCAAATCTGAGGACATGCTAGCGAAAGAGCGCTAAGAGAGCTATCGAATGCGCTTTTCCGCGGCGCCGTAGCTCTATCGGTTCCCGAGTTAGCTGTTGGCAGTTTCCAAAATGTTAAAATAGCCAACATTTTACCTTTGGTGACCTCTGGTCACTGGTGACCTGACCTTTGACCTGAGCCAAAAAATGACTGAAATGTTTTCGTCCTTATTTTGGACGTTCTTTCGATTGCCGCTTACCGCGTGTCGCTACGTGGCCCAGGAGCCGAGTTCCGCATATTATTACCCCAAGCCCTCCGCGACTTCCGCCCCCAGCCCGGCGCGGGTTAAGTAAGTACCGAACTGAAACAAAGACTTCGAATATGACGTACCGCATAATATTACCCCAAATCGCTTAATGTCAGTAATGACCCGAAGCGGGTATGGCTTTCGAGCGCTGAATGCTCCGCGGGACGGGAATCGGGCGGCGCCGGGACGGTCGGGCCGTCCCAGAAGTCTGGACTAACAGCGCGTTTCCTGATGAGAACATTGGCTGGATCGACCACTCTCCACCGCCGGGCACGGCTCGCTGTCGTCCCCACTAACGGTCCCCGCCGCCTGCTGCTCCTGGCCGCCGACCGGGGCCTGCTGATGCTGGCCGGCCGTCTGCTCCGGTTTGCCCGGTGGCTGGACGCCCTCGGGGCCGGGCGGCGGTGTGGCGCGGAACGTGGGCCCCTCAGAGAGCTCCGACTCGTGGTCGGTGTCCTCTGCCAGGGCGCCGAGCGGCGGCGGCGGCGGCGGCGCCGAGGCGGCGCGCCGCTCGACGCCGCCGCCGGCCGGCCACTCGCCAATCCGACGCGTCAGGTCCTCCAGCGACAGCTCCAGGTTTTCGGAGGGACGTCGCAGCCGGCGCTGGATCAGCAGCTCCATCATCTGCGGCCAGAGCGGGTCCGTCAGCCGGCGCACAGTGGGCGGATATGCCATTCTAGCGCGAAAGGGCCTGAATCTTCGAACGGAACCCTCGGTTTTTCCCGAGTAATTCGCGTAAATAGCGGCCGATCGCAACGAAACTTTCAGTACCCTCGTGATAATTAATTTCACAGCTAACCTGAAAATTTCATGACCCTGACCTTAATGATCTTTGACCTGTGACCTTCTTTCGAGGCCATGTTTGGCCGGAATCGCGATTCAACGCATGTCTGCTCGCATTAGCCGCGGGTTTGCAGTCTTTTCGTGGTTTAAAGTGTTCAAACATGGTATATTATGTTGCTCCCATGTATCAGGGTGGGCGTCAAGGTTACCAAAAGGTCAGGTAAGGTCAATGACCTTTGATGACCCTGGTTCACTTTTTTGAGTTTTACATGTTTCTAGGCTAGTTTTTGGAGCTGAATTCGAACCTAGCAGCCATTTGAACATTTAATATGTAGCTTTGGTGCCTTCAGTTCGTAACATGTTACGAAGCTGTCAGAGGCGGTTGCCACCTACTACAAATACTCGGCAAAACCCTTACTGGTTGACCTGACCTGTCCTGACCCGACCTGGCCTAAATGTATGAAGACATCATCTATGATCATAAATAACATTACATTCGTGATGGTTCCCCGTTGCCCCCCGTTCCGCCACCTATGTTGGGTAGGTTATTTCAACTGTTGACTGCCCTGACACTCTTTACTCAAGCTTGTGGTAATAGTAATCCGAAGCCTAGCATCCCACAAAGATGCCAGATATGAGATAGGGTTCTATGAGGATCCAATCCTTTTTTACCATATTCTACCTACTCGTATAGGTACATACCTACCTACTTCATGGAAAAACATTTGCATGCATGCAAGTAGGTACCTACCAACATGCTTGCTTGAAGTATGAAGTTTCTTGGGCACGCAAACAGTGAATAATATGTGAGGCCTTGGTGTTCAGCTGCTTACAAACTGACTTCTGATATTATTCCATCATGCTATACTGACAAAAGAGCAAATATTCAATATGTGTCTGTTAAGGTATTGGGATGTATTTATGGCTCACCTGCTAAGTGGTGCTGATAGGCTTCCTCACCAGACCCTTCAATGGGGAAAAGGACAGACAGGAAGCATGAAGATAGAGATGCGCCAGCCGCAAATCTCAAATGGGTAAAGCATGGGAGAGGTTGGGATGGTGTGTCTGCTGGTTATGTGCTGATGCTGTTCATTAGGTATAGTGCTTAAAGGTAACGTCTTGCACCTTAACATTAATTCGTATATGATGTAAGATAAAAACACCAAAACCACCCAACGTTTCGTGTTATTCACTTTTTCAAGTGAATAACACATGTGTCCAATTCAAATAATCACCTTAACATTAGTTTTGAGGCTTGAGCTGACATAGTTATGTAGCCAAGTCTGGGGCAGTCAGGCTTAGAAACCATGTTCTGCCTTGGTCCCAAGTTTTACAAGTGCCTGGTGTTGAAGAAGTTTGTTCCTTCTATAACACATTGTGCCTTCACAAGGCAGTATCTCTAAACCATTGGTGTTGGTCTACTAAGTGATCTTCTTCTAGCATCTCCATGTAAAGTGGGGCTAGTACGGCGCTGAGCGGGTTGCCCATAGCCAAGCCTGATTTTTGGACGAATTCTCTGCTGACGAATTGAAAAGACCCGAAGCTGACGCATAGTTGGACTAAGCCGATAAAATGTTTTTTCGGTAGGGGGGCGCTGTGTGTCATCGATGCCCTGTAGGACGCGGCGAACCGCACGCATGGCTACTTCTACGCTCACATTAGTGAAAAGTGACTTCACATCAAACGAGACCATCCTCTTCCCTCTCACATCTGCGTCTTTTAGCCGGTCGAGAAGGTCAGCGGAACTCTTCAGGTGTGAGCAGTTGATGCTCCCCAACGCGGCTGATAGTTTGGTGAGACATTTTGCGAGGCGGTGTGGGGCACTGTCCACCCCCGAGGTGATGGGGCGCATGGGGATGCCTTCTTTGTGAAGCTTTGGCAGACCCATCGTCTGTGCTGATCTTGGGTTTCTCTTCCAAAAGGTACTGTAAACGCTTGCCCCTTTCTGATCGCCTTAGACGTTTTCTGGCTTCTTTGTTAAACTTTTCGGACTCTTTCTTACAAGAGTCGGAAGGAACGTCCTCGTAGACGATGGCATCTGGGATCTGATAGGAGTTCGTTCATTTTTTCGTCATATGTTGAACGGTCCAGGATGACAACACCTCCACCCTTGTCACTTGAGCTAATGACGATGTTGTCGTCTTTAGCGAGGTCTTTCAGGCTAAGCATATAGCGTCTGGGAATCGAGAGATGAGAAGAGGAAGCCATCGTCTTCAGACATGTGACAAATCCTTGTTTGAAGCCTTTGTCCACCTCCGAGTCAGTAGACTTGATGTTTCTCATCATGACGGCTAGGTAGCTTTTACTGTTCTTGTCAGTGTCAAATTTGAGTCCCAGTGACAGCGCTTCAGTTTCTACTTGACTGAGTGGCCGACTAGACAAGTTGGTGATCAGGCGAGCATCTCCAGCATGTTTTCAAGAGCTTGATGCGCAGAGCCGGGACAGTTTGCCCAGTAACAGTTATAGGTGCCTTTTCGCCTTGCGCTTTAATTGTTCCTCGAGGTGTGCTGGAAAGGGCTGCCGGAAACGACTTCTTAAAATGGCTGCTCTGTTGCTTAAAGTTTCGGAGTTTCCACACCATCCTCTAGATAAGCTCTTGCAGCCTTTGAACGGGTGCTGTTTCGAGTACAGTTGACGAGGTGCAGAACGAGGGAGAACTTGCTCTTCTATGCAGTCTTTCAAAAATAATGCTTGGTTCTCAGTTCTAAAATATTTCTCGCGTAGATAATACTCTCGTCTTATTTCCAGCTCACCTCGAGGAACAATTAAAACGCAAGGCGAAAAGGCACCTCTAACTGTTACTAGATAAACTGTCCCGGCTCTGCGCATCAAGCTCTTGGAAACATGCTGGAGATGCTCGCCTGATCACCAACTTGTCTAGTCGGCCACCCAGTCAAGAAGAAACTGAAGCGCTGTCACTGGGACTCAAATTTGGCACTGGCAAGAACAGTAAAAGCTAGCTAGACTTCATAATGAGTAACATCAAGTCTACTGACTCGGAGGTGGGCAAAGGCTTCAAACAAGGGTTTTTTTCACATGTCTGAAGACGATGGCTTCCTCTTCTCATCTCTCGATTCCCAGACGCTACATGCTTAGCCCGAAAGAGCTCGCTAAAGACGACAACATCGTCACTAGCTCAAGTGACAAGGATGGAGGTGTTGTCATCCTCGACCGTTCAACATATCAGTCGGGGAAACTGTGGTCAAATCTTCCATTTTTAGAAAGCCTTCCATTTTTGGAAGGATTTTCTATATATGGGTACGCACCTTCCAAAAATGGGTACGCTGACGACGTCATCGTACCCAAATATAGAAAATGTTGCGCATATGTTGGAACTTACCGATTTCCGCCGAACATGAGGCAAATGCGACTATCGCCCCTGGTCGCTTTCTATTCGCCATAGTGAAGTGTCCATAATCTAGCGTGGATGCCTAAATCCTAGCGTGGATGTATTTTAGGTAATTTTTCAAAGTAATGAGTCGTGGAAAATTGACAAAAATTTACCGACAAACGATGGTTTTATAAGACTTTATCAAACATTTTGTAAGCAAAAAGCATCAAAAACGAAAAGTAAATATCCTTAAAAGTACTTTAGTGACGGGCCATGCTTGTTCGATACCGCCGACTTTATTTACAGTGCGGAATTGTCTGGACAGATTGCGGCGGTTTCGGGAGTGTAGTGGCGAGTAAAACTTGTATTTGTTGCCGTTTTCTGCATTTATTAGCATATTGTGTGGTTGATTTCAATTTTTTAAGGCTTTTGCCAAACATTTGGGTGGAGGTCTCGTCATTTTTCAATGTTTTTTTCCGGAATATGGGACGAATTAAATAGGCGTTGCTGCGCCGTTTTTCGTGTTACTTTCTATCGAAGGAGCATGAATCTTCAATTTATATGAGGAATAGTAAGTTTAATTTAAACCATTTTTTGTCAGGGCTATAGCTGTGTTCCTCCTGGTTGGTTATTGACCAGCTGTTTTCTCTTCTGAATTTCTATGTGTCCTCTAGAAGTAGAAAAAGAGAGCAGTGCGCCAGGACACCATGCTATTATATCACTATGTACATTGACATAGCATGCCTGTATTACCAACACTAGCACTGCTGCTTCTCCTTATATCAATGATCATAAATGGCAAAATCAACTATTAATGTTACACATTTAAAAAGGCCGTAACTTAAATCAAAGAATGTGAATCACAGTTGGGAACACTGAGATTAGACCTTCCAATTTTGGAAGCCTTCCATTTTTGGAAAATGCATACCCATTTATGGAAGGTCCTTCCAAAAATGGAAGGCTTCCAAAAATAGAAGATTTGACCACAGTTTCCCCCACTGATATGACGAAAAAATGAACGAATTCCTATCAGATGCCACCGTCTACGAGGAAGTTCCTTCCGGCTCTTGTAAGAAAGCGTGCGAAAAGCTTAACAAAGAAGCCGGAAAACTTCTAAGGCGATCAGAAAGGGGCAAGCGTTTACAGTACCTTTTGGAAGAGAAACCAAGATCAGCACAGATGAAGGGTCTGCCAAAGCTTCACAAAGAAGGCGGCCCCACGCGCCCCATCACTTCGGGGGTGGACAGTGCCCCACACCGCCTCGCAAAATGTCTCTCCAAACTATCAGCCGCGTTGGGGAGCATCAGCTGCTCACACCTGAAGAATTCCGCTGACCTTCTCGACCGGCTAAAAGACGCAGATGTGAGAGGGAAGAGGATGGTCTCGTTTGATGTGAAGTCACTTTTCACTAATGTGAGCGTAGAAGTAGCCATACATGCGGTTCACCGCGTCCTACAGGGCATCGATGACACACAGCGCCCCCCCCCCCTACCGAAAGAACATTTTATCG